TCGATTCCCGCTGAGCGCGTTGACAAGACCTATACGAGGTCGAAACTGCAGTCCACTGGTACCTGGATGAAAACACCCTTTGGGAAGGCAAGGCTATGTGAAATTCATTGGAAAACTTCAGCTCGATTCATATCACTGTGGGAGAATTCAACTATCAGTCCTTCATTATCCTAAACGAAATAGGGTGAGCACAACTCACCTATTTCTTTCCTACTGCTTATTTCCGCGTCAGACGTAAAAGTTATGCTAAGCATTTTAATTTATTACCCGCCTGATTTCGCTGGCTTCTTTTCCCTTCCAAACTATATATTTCAAAGCCTTAGAAGGAAATTAGCTCCTTTAGTCTACGCCCATTCCCAGATCCCATCGTGAGTGAAGCTAAGACTACAGTCGAGATTAACCTCAGAGAGGAGTCAATGCTATTCAAAAACACCCCTCTAAAGTCACTTTATTTACACTTCTCAATACGGTGATTATTGAAGTAAAAGTAAGAGAGCACACCATTTATCTCGATTTGGACAAAGCTTGCGCATTTTGCTCTTGGTCTGCCAGAAGTTGTATATATATATATATATTTATGTATATATGAGTATAAGCAGATATATTCTTCACACCTTTCATTTAAGTGTACTGCAACATCTGGCGTTTGTAGTGTGCATTAAGGACCTTTGTTCTATGGAATACATAAATGAAAGATCATTCAGAGTAATTACCATAGTTATGGCACTGAGGACAGATCCTGTTCCCACCTTTTAGGGGATTAAGGTCGAAGCTAGCCGTCAAGACGGAAGGAGTATTTTTACCTTGAAAGCTCCATTATTGCATTCAATCAGGATGAATTGAATGTCTGATTAGCTGCAGATTAGCCGAAGCTATTCGCTATTGATCCAATTGAGAATGCCCACTGCCATGCGTCTGATTGGTTCTTCCAACACAGCCAACCGGCGACATCGTCTGCATCTGATTGGTCAGGCTGGCGGGCGGGTAGGGCAGGTCGGATGTGCTTCAGGGGTGGAGTTGCTCCGACCAGGGAAGGCTGATGATGAGGCAGAAAGAGAGAGAGAAAGGAAGGAAGAGCGAGAGTGAGAGAAAAGAGGTGGATAAGTGTAGAGGGAAGGAGAGAGCGGAGAAAGGAAAGTGAGAGAGTGAGTGAGATAGATAGAAGACCATTTCATGTTGTCACGGTTAAAGTCTGGAGGATCGAGTGAGGCTTATTCGTTCCAGAACGGATCAGATGGCCCATCCCAATATCCAGTACAGTTGCGTCTTAACGACATGACGACGGCTGATGGAGAAGAGGAGCGTTGGCTTTCACACCTTAAGTTCTTCATCGTCTGGGCAATCGAGTGACTGTGGGACAACCAATAAAGGCGTTAGATGATAGGAAATAAATTTTTTTAATATTACTAAAGGATCATCTGGACCCAATCAAAGTGTCTGTTCGAGGGGCGAATGTTAAGGGCTCCTTTTGGAGTTTGCAAGCAATCTCTTATTTTTGTAAGGCTTCGTAAATGAAGCTGCGAGGGTGAAGTCTGGAATGAGGTATTCCGTCGGACAAAACACACGGACAGCGAGGAAACCAGTAGGC